GATCTTCTATATTTTGTCTGTATCTTGCTCGTTTGTTCATTATTATTATTATTATAAATTTTATAAAGTTGAAACTCCTTACTGTAAGTTAGTGTTAATACAACAGCGAAACATTTTTGTTGGATCATGTGTAAGTTTATCAAATAAGAAAAAGTCGTATTTACCTTTTGTAGCATTACGGTAAAGTTCAATAAACATATCTTTTGTCACGCCACCGTATTGCTCGTTTGCAATATTTCTAACGATAACATTGTCCAATCCTGGAAATAATATAAAACAACCAGTATTGCGTCTAATAAATGTGTCAACATTAAAAAAATCTTGAGCGAGATAAACAGAATTACACTGTTTGTTACGTGACAGTGAGAAATATGATATTATTTTGTCCATCTCCATGTTATTTAGCGGAATATCGTCAAAAACTACTATCTTATTTTCATCTGCATCAAGTTGATTAACTGGAATAAGAACTTCTGGCTGCCTAATTATAAAGAAAATCTTCACCAGCTTTAAGATCATCACGAAGCTTGTCATTATACTCGCCTAATAACTCGTACTTATCTTGCTGTGGATTGATCGTGTAAATATAAACTCTGTCATAGTTAAAATTATCACCAAGAAACTAATTCATAAGCAAATTTGTTTTGCCTGATCCAGTTCGCCCAACAATAAGATAAGGACAATCAGGAATTTAATTATGTTTGTGCTTTACCAGTCTCTCTGTATCAAAGTTTAATATCGACGATTTTGCCATTTTGTATAACATTAAACTAGTGTTGATAATTTTATGTAAGACAGCAAATAATGAGCTACTATACAAAATTTGGAACACTATCAGGAGATTTATCCACAGAAGGTTATCAAGGTGATTTATCCAAATATGCAACTATTGATCAGCTCAAAAACAAAATCAATAATTTACTAAATGTTGCCAGTGTAGATCCAATTGAAGTAGTCATTTTCCAGGACGAAATAGGACGGTTAAAGACGAGTAATGTAAAACTGTCAGATGTACTTGTACGAAATCCAAGTGGGAATATTGTTATGAAACAAAACAAGATTACAGATCTCGAATATCCAACTGAGCACGGTGACGCTGCCACTAAGAAATACACCGACGATCAAAAATAAAAGTACATGTCAGTCAATGGTAGTATGATTCATGCATTTCTCAATATGAACTATAATGCTATTATTGAACTAAGAACACCCGAGTCTGACTTTGATGCTGTCAACAAAAAATACGTGGATGATAAACAGATTCCCATCTGTAATGTAATAGACAAAATCAAAACTGAATTTACCCTTCATGTGAATACGCTGTTAAGTTTTCGCAGAAACATAAACACGCTTAACGATAAATTTTTGGAAGATCCATCAAATGTTGACATTACACTCGCTAATATTAATACAAAACTCAATGATATTAACACAAAACTCAATGATATTATTAGTGGATTTCCTGGTATTGTTGATAAAACGAGTATGGGTAAAATTCCTCACAAACAAATTAAAAATATTATGTATACTGTTGATGCTGGATTTGGTATGTGAACGCAGCAAAATAAATCTATCAAATACACTGCGGCGGTTTATGGTGTGTATAGATTTTCAGTGCTTAGCATTATAAAGTTTAAAATATATTCTAATTATTCGCGTATTAATAATTTGAATGTTAAGATTTCTGAACCTGTAACTGTAACAATATATAAAAATTCAAAGGAAGAATTTGTACTTCAACCAGATAATGAAAATTTTAAAGGCCCTGGCCCTTATCAGTGGTGTTTGGAATTTGTAGCTGAATTACAATAACCAAGCCTGGGGATTATGTAAACAAATATTATAATGAAAAGAAATATACTTGATTTCAATCATATTTCAAAAGATATTCCAGTACAGCATGTGGACGCAGTATTACAATACTACACGAAAAACTTTGGTGCGTAAAACAATGTTACAAATACTATAACAAGATCCTTCGAGTAATATCATATCTACCCTTGTTAATGACCAGTTCTGGTATAATTTCAAGTGGGGTATCATTAAATCCATTTTTGTTAATTATATCTGGTATTGGTGTTTCACTTACAACGGTGTGTAAAAAAAGTAGAACCAAGACTTTTAATAAACAAGCATGGATGTCTAACATCTGTTATAACTTACAAGAAACTACTTGATCAGATCCGGTCTTACCTACGAGGAGTCAAATATAATATGGATGATTTATTACGTGAATTTCGCATTATTGACAATATGTTAACAGACATTCTACCAATGAGGGTTAGCAAGTATGAAAAAAATTATCAAAAAAATATGAGTAACTTATAATTTTATATAAACTTAAGATATAATATCACCTACCTTTATCATTTTCGTTCTAATCCGTAGATTAATTTCCGCCTTCCACGTGTTAACTGAAATCGCCACGCTCTAATGAGCACTAAGAATCTACACTTAGGTGATCATGTGTAAGGTAATAACATCCTTGTTTTACTACCTGTAAATTGCAGTATATCATCCAGGTAAACTAATGACTAACAGTCACCTGTAAAATATAGTGAGAGGCTAAACTGATAGATCTTATCTTTGCCGACCGAAATTTTATCTAAACTAAAGAAATAATATTTGAAAAATTTAACAGTAGTAAAATCCATTGAAACATGAGGTATTAAATAATATCACTTACCTTTCTCGCGCTCGTTCTAATGCGTAGTTTAATTTCCATCCTGTACAGCACATGGTATCTGATGAAAAGCTAGCGGTAGACTGATAATAATAAAACCCGTCTTGCTGTCTTTAGAGTAGTTCGTGAACATTCCACGCATGCGCCTGTTCTAACAAATTCATCAACCTCTAAATGACAGAGCTTACCTGGATGACTCATCCCTGCACCTGTTGTTTTGTAACAATACAAAATACCTGTCTGCACCTGTTGTTTTGTAAAACACGTGATACCACCTTTTGTGATATAATGACAGAGCTTTTTTTAACTTACCTGGATAGTATAAGAAAGTTTACCTGAATACCGATCATGTACATAACTCTCTACCTGGATTTCTTAACACTGTAATAACAGAGGGGGCTAAGCTAGAAACCTTTCTAATAATTTTGAAACAGAGGGGTGGGGGATAGTTTAGGACCATAGTTTATACTTGTTTGGAGGGGTAAAAGAGGGGTTTGAGCTGAAAATCTTGTTTTCCTATACTACTAAAGTAGTTTATTTTTATTTCAATTGCAATGGCAAACTTCGGTCATACTTATTTCGACATGCACCAGCTTAGACTTTATATTTGCGTAGGGGGACACTTGTTTAGAGTGAAATGAAACTGATTCATGTCGCAAAAAATAATACTTGATTCACTTTTTTCATATCTGAGTATTATTAAGAAACAAAACAATTTAACATTTCTGAATTTTCCATGTAATTGTATACACGTTATTTATTTTCATCCTCATATTTTATAGTATATTTTAAGTGATATACAATATATTTAATTACTGCTAATATTATACATGATATTATATAAAATAATGCTAGACTAACCAGTCCAAAAAGAAGTCAAAGCAAACGTACCTGCTTGACTGATATGTCTCCCAGAAAGAAATGAATCTAGACTATCTATAAAGTAAACATGGTAGACAAAACAACAAGACAAACACATATAGATTCAGTCGAAATGAATTTAAATGGCTATATTGGTACGTTATCAGCACTCAAAATTTGCACACAATGGACCGAATTGCTACCTCTAAAATGATCCAAATTTGAAAAGGTGATTGGACGTAAAATATCCTTTGAAGGACAGCAACATGTATCAATCAGGTTCTGTCAAGTTGCACGAGTAGATTTATCTTTAGACACAAATTGAAGCTGTTTTGGCGTATTTACAATAACAGTAAGTATGGTCATGAAAATTGAGAATGAATTTTATATATTTGCAAATGTGTAAAACATCAGAAAATAGAGATTTAAATGAGATAAACTAAATTAAATCGTCATTATTAATTTTAGCTGCCAAACTCATCTGCTAATGTAATATTGCATTGGACAAAAAAGTATCTTGTCGGTAGAGCAAACACGGAAGTCTCAAACCTTGCACGTAAAGAGTAGCGAGTTGTCTGCAAGGAGGAAGAAACAAATTGAAGTTTTTTCTTCATACTCTTATCTAGTCATTCTAAATACTACAACGGCTAAAAATATCATTACACATATGAATAAAGATTTATATAATAATGTTTAGGAAAAACATAACCACAAATTTTACGTCTTTAAAACACTTGAACAAAACGATAGGGACATTAAAAATTATGTTGCATTAAAAGATGTGATAAATATATTTTCTGAAGCATGCTCCGTTGGACGATTTAAAATGCAAACATATATTGCATGTCATTTTATTGTAACGACACTCATGGCCATAAACAATGTAACCGATAGAAGAGGAACAGTACAGAAACTTCATAAACAATTTATTTCCACATAATACAATGTGAAAATTAAATTGAACTTACATCATTTTGAGTAAAATCCAAATAATCTTAAATTTTTTAAAACAAGGAAAAACGTCAAGATGTAAATGCTTTGACATACCAGTAGACTTGAATGTGCTGATATACCAACATTCTTGAAGATATTGATGCATGAACCGTCTTAATTTGTTCCAATCGAAATATCCTAATGAATTATATGAATAATCTTAGAAGTCTAAATGTACCAATAAATATTGATTATTTATTGATGTACACCAATCTGTTGAGATGTGATGTGATTATGATTTTTAACGTAGCATTAACAATTTTGCAGTCATATCGCTACGACATCTGCAGTGTAGCAGTTTATAGTGATGCCTAGCACTGGGGCATCATGCCGCAGACATGTAGCATGATGTGCCACCCAGTCACATTATCCTGACACCAGGCCGACCAGTCCTAACACTAACCTCTTAATCCTGAGCGCCAAGTGAGGTAGCTGTTAGCACCATTTTTTTAAGTCTTTGGTATGACTCGACCGGGGATCGAACCCACGACCTCCCGCATCCGAGGCGGACGCTCTAACCACAAGTCCACCGGAGCGGTATATGTACCCCAATAAAATGCCTTTGAAATAATTCGCAACATTCTAAGGTAGCAATTTAGTCCCAAAGTGAATGCGCACTTTATAATTCCACAGCATAATTCAATGAATATCTCCCTTCCAATTTTATATGATAACAACAAATTAAATTGAGTACAGTCTAAACGTAAAATGGAAATATATAATATGTATGCAACAGCTATATATTATTCAATTACTGGACCCTGCACGCAGCAGAGTTCTTTAGGAAAACACATTGAATTCAAATCAAAGCAAACATCTTGAATAAGATGCAAACGTCAAGGTCAACAACTCTGTTCTGAGTCATTTACACAAGTATAACATGCAAAGCCTTGCTATATGTTTGACTTCATGATGCTTTAAGTGTTATGAAAAACAGAAAATAATTTAAATACTTCATATTGCTTTAAAATTATATCCTTTGCATCACGAGAAGCTAAAATAAAACACCGTGTGGTGCCTAGATAAATTCTAATGTATAACTTTTCGAGAGTTGTTGAACATTATCAATTAGTCTTTAAATTTGTTTGTTCTAATAGTTAGTTGCTTTTGACCAGATTGAAATTTTACCATGGAAATGGTTTTATTTGTTTGTAAAATAAGTTAATTAAACTATATCCGTTGGTTTACATGCCAACAAGACTAAAGACCATCACTTGCATTTTCTTGGTAAGGTCATGAATTTGATTCGTAAATAACTCAGTAAAGTCGATAAAATTGAAGTTTTTAATGGTATTGATGATAGTAAAATACATGAGTATCACTACCCTAATTGACCAATGTATACTTGTTTGAATGGCTCGAAACAGTTTTAAGCGACGTCATCTTGGTGTATATTACGTTAGTGTTGTGACTAAATTATTATGCACAATTAAATCATCCTTGAACAAACGGTCGCAGTTCTAATCACTGTCTTATATGTGAATCAGTAATTGTATCTGTCACAAGGAACAGAAAGGAAAAGAGAGGATCAACATAGGAAAATATCGCTTTTGTTTCAGATTTCGTTTCTTCAAGGATATCAGTAAATTGTATGAATGATAAGCATATAACAGTTATTTTATTAGCCATATACAAATAGCATGTTTCTAATTTACTCAAAACAAAATTTGACAACGAGTTCAATTTAGCATCACATCAATCAGAGTTTTTCCTTTTATCATGATTTTTTTAAGTAAGCTTGTAAACTGACTATGTGTTGAGTTATGAACAAAATTACGCTTTGCAACAGAAGTATCGTTGTGATGGTATTGCATGCTGGCAGATTAACGGAGTCAAAGCATTCGATAGATACGGCGTTCCAACATCATAAAATAATTTTCACTGTCTTTATCGCAACAGACGTTTCGCGAAATTTGTATTGCATTGCATCCTTAAAAAACATAAACTGCAAAATGACTTTCTGTCTTTGAGCGCTGATTCATTCTAAAACTTGCTTCCCAACGATTTGTTTTATTATATCGAAGGTTCTCCTGCTCTCGTTTCTTTACATATGACGCGTCCTTAAGGCATACCAAAAAAATAGACTGCAAGCATTGATAGCAGTGGCAAAACTACATCTTTCTGTTTTAGTTTTGTACTGCAGATATATAATTTTTCTTCTCTTCTTGGAGGGTACATTCAAACTGAAATACAATTTTTGCAGCATATTTATCAAGAGCCTAACATTAGAACTAGTATGTGCTATCGTGGAATCATTTCATTTGATACTAATGCGATATCATAGTTTCTCCCATTGCATAACATGGACTCTAAATGGTGTCTGTTTATCGAATGTTTCCCACATTTGTCTGCCTTAAAATGGAAATTCAATGTTTAGTTATATAGAGCAGAATACAACAAATATGCAATTATAAGACCTTGAAGGTCATTAACTTCATTTACCTATTCGCCTATTGCTAACTGTAGGGGCCCCGAGTGGCCGAGTGGTCTAAAGCGCTGTCCGTTACTGATCACTGCCATCTCACCTCTGTCTGCGTAGGTTCGAGTCTAGGATTCGGCTAATGTAGATATGTGAGAAAGATTGCCAGTAGCTTCTCGTGGGTCGGTGGTTCTTTCCGGTGATTTCCCGGTTTCTTCCTCCACCATTAATACTGGCCGCCATGAATAGTCTATCGTGTGCTAAAAAATGGCGTTAAGCCCAACAACAACAACAACAACAACAACAACATTGCTAACTGTAAGACCCGCGTTGCCATATCACTCAAGTATACAGGTTTGGAAAGTCCTCTATGCAAACTTGGGTTCCCGTATCAACTACCATGTTCACATGTATTGCTTCCTTACGCATAAGCATAAGGAACACTCTCCAATGATGTATGTGTTAGCTTCTGTAAAGGTCAATGCAATTTCATTGGTAATGATGTAACATGCTATTCACGCGAATAAACTTCAAGTCAAGATCTAGCATATAAAACACAGATGATGTTATTTTTACCATCCAAACCGATAGAGTTTTAAAGGCTAGATTGTTCATTCATTACACTATCTGCTCAGCATGAGTATATATTAGGATCGACTTGTTGCAAAACCGGCCTCTCCAGTGGTCTAAGTGGTTAGATACCGACCAAACACTTTGCTACCAGTCTATGCTGTTAACAAGTCATATAAGAAAATGGTGAAAGATAGCAAGTTATGTAAAATGTAACAAATAATTTATTTCTGAGAATATAAAGTGAAAGTTAAAAACACAGAACTTACGGCATTGCTAATTAAATCGCAAAATAAAAAAGAGACAATTAAAACTAATTTTAATTCCATAATAAACCTCAGTACAAATCGTAATGAAATGCAAACCTGGAGGTGAACATGCTTCTGCTATTGAGTATAAAGTGTTGATTTGTCTGCAGTCTTTTGTTGAATCACAATAATGTAATTATATTTTTGAATTCAGTATACATTCAAGTAAAGGTCTCTATCCAAGATTTAAATCAGAGCAGTTTGTATTTCCTGAGAAAATAATCACTTGAATTCAATAATTTGAACAAAACAGATTCCAGGACACAACTACCGGTCACAAAATAATATTGAACATGTAAATGCTGGATGTTAATGCATGAAAATTAACATAACCTCACATTTATAAAATTGTATAGTTCTTGAATTGACCTCATGATTCGCTTAGCATTTTCTAATATATAAATTACCTAATGGCCAATAATCTTCTAGAATGATCTTGATGGTTTTTTTACGAAAATGATCTGGATAATGCAGAATTCACTTAGTAAGGTCCAAAACTTTGATAGAATTAAATACAGATAAACGTATTTACATATATTAATAATAATTATGTTTAACTTAGATCCTCCCACTCACATGCAAGCTTTGTCCCATTCCCACTTTGGCTGAACCCGAGACTCGAACCCACGCAGTCAGAGGCGAGATGTCCATGATCTGCAATGTTGTACGCTTTAACCACTTGGACATTCAGGGCCCTTCGTCGTGCTTGGATAATTGTTTTATTTGCTGTACTTGTTATTACAGGATCAGCTTCCATTTTATGTGTAATCTACCTGAAACCCTCTTTGGCAACGGCTACTTATTAGGCTGGCGCGTCATAAGTTGGTGTGAAATTTATTTTCTCTGCAAAGTACTAATCATCATTAATCCTAAATGGTGCAATGGGGGGATCAGATGCGATTTGTTATTTCTCAGGACTCATTGTAATTACAGAATTTATTTGGATGTAACAGGCTTGGTGTTATAGCAATCATGAGATACATTTTAATTTAATTTCTCATATAATTGTTCCGCACTTACCTCGTCTTGTTCGCAATAATGCAATCCTATTCCATAGTTCTGGCCAGATCCAGCAGATGCAAAAACATTGTTACTATCTCACTATTAAAGTTATTCCTGAAATACAAAAGGCTCGTTGATCGGGTAGTATAAAGGTGAGATATTGGTTTATTGCTAATGCTTTACACTTAAGCAACGCGCAAAGATGGTGTGACAAATCCTCTTTTGCCCATTTTCGTACAGGGGCATACCTGTCAAATGTGTTTAGATAGCTATTCATGTTATCTTTGTCGTCTTTAATGGAAGCAGTTTTAGACCTCTCAGTTTAAAATTATGTTTCCCCTCCCTTTTGTTTTGCAATAGCTAAGAATTTCTTGGATATTACCTCTCCCTTTTTCTATCTCCACATCCTTAGTTCTCTTTTTTCACCTTTCTAATTTTCTAACCTCTACTTCTAGTAGTAGTTGTACACTTTCTGCTTACTTTTCTAAGCCTTTTTTACCTCACTGCTTCTATTTCCAATTCTATCCTTTCATTTCCGGCCAGTTTTTCTAACTCTATCTTCCCCGTATCATTCTTTTTTATCTTTTCCTTCCTTTTCTGACTGATTTTCTAATTTCATCTTTATCTTTTCAAATTCTATATTTTCAGTTTAAACCCCATGTTTTATTTTTGCGGGTTTCCTTTATATTTCTAGTTTCTTCCTTTTAATTTTCTTTTTTAATTCTATTAACGCCAGCGTGGCTTCCTTTCTATTTCTCTCTGGCCCCTTTATCAAGCCTGTTCTTCTCGAACAAAATTTCTCAGAGACTTCCGTAGCAGCCAATATGTTTTCCCAATTATAAAAGTTCTTTCATTGATGACATTTCAAAACTCTGATAATACCAACCTAAACTGCAGTATTAATTGAAGAGGCGTACTTACCATAATTTATACAAACAAAACGCACTTTCCTTCTTTTAAAGGCAGCACAAAAGTAAAATGTGTACAAAGAAGAAAAATAATGTTAATGTCTACTTAACCTCGCCGTCTCGTTACGAGCGTATGAAATAGAGAAACATCTTGCAAGAATAATGATACAATGACAATGCTCTGTTAACTCCGAGGTAAACCCACATCTGACATCGTTTATAACAAGATAACCGAGATGGATTTCCGGATATACAACAGGACATTTTTGATGGTGATACAAATACAATGTGTATTTATGTAAGACTTGAATGAAAGAGAAATATAATTA